ATGTGGACGGTGGCTGGAGTCAGTAGACCAGCTGGGTCTCCCAGGCCCTGAGACACGAGGCTTGGGAGACTATGGGTGAGCTCGGGGCAGATGAAGACTGAGCTGGGGAGAGGGAAGCGGGGGTTCTCCACCAGGGGGAAGCCTTTGTACACATGGTCTATCAGTTGGGGTTCAGGAGAAATCATGGATGGAGCTTCAGAGGTCATAAGAATGGAGACTATGCCTGAAGACCTGGGTGAGTGCCAGTAAAGTGGGGACAGTGAAGGGGGGTGTCAGTAAATGGGGACCAGTGAAGGAGGACCAGTGAAAGGGGGGCCGGTGAAAGGAGACCAATGAAGGGGGACAGTGTAGGGGGGACAGTGAAGGAGGGTCAGTGAATGGGGATCAGTGAAGAGGGGGTCAGTAAATGGGGACCAGTGAAGTGGGGACAGTGAATGGGTACAGTGAAGGGGGGATAGTTAAAGGGGGCCAGTGAAGGTAGGAAGGAGATGCAATTTATGAGGTGGGGGGGCGGGGGGTACAGGCTATCATTGGGATAGGAAATTGCAGCCGTGAACCCTGTAGGGGCAGCCCAAGGAGACAAGACAGATGCTGCCATCCTGGAAAGAGGAAGCACCCCACAAGAGAGGGCAGCCCCAAAAGGTCTGAGGCAGTAGCTGTTCACCTGCTGTTTCCCTTCTGCTGATGCTGGAGCCCCACTGGTTGGCCCATGTGTCAGGCCAGCCTTGTACTCAGCCCAGAGCACTTGGGGGGCGGGGGGCGTGATGTGGGTGGACCATGTGAGCCCTGTTCCCGCTTGGGCTCTTCTATGAGGCCCGAGGTGGGCAGTGCCTGCTGCACTTTACTACCTGAAGGCACTGGGAGACGAGGTGCCGGTGTCTGCCTAGAGTTAAGAAGGGATCTATAGCTTAAATGTAGCCCTGACATCTGTGGAATGTCCACAGATACAGGATCAGTTCTCTGTGAGACCGGATGACCTTTGACAATACCTCACAGCTCCGTGCTGTTGAGTTGACTCCGACTCAGAGCAGCCGGGTGGAACCAGCCCTTTGAGCTCTGAGGCCGCCCCTCTGTGTGGAGCAGGTGGAGTCCTCTTCCTCGTGGGACCGCTGGACTTGCAGTTACCAGCCCAGGGCTTGCCCCCTAACCCCCCAGGACTCCTTGGTAAAGCAGAAGGTCTGTGAAGATGAGCGAGAGCCTCAGTGAGATGGACTGGCACGATGGGCGCCCCGTGCACTCGAGCACCATGCCCATGAAGACACGGTGGCACAGGCACTGTTCTGGTTGCGGTCACCTGCACGGGGGGCGGGGGGCGGCTGGACGGTTGTGCTTGGAGGGCAGTGCAGGCAACCTGTGGCTGTTTTCGGCCAGAAGGGCTTCCTAATAGCTTCCCCTCTGAGCTCTTCCGTGGGATTGGGGGTTCTCTGTGGCAAAGTCTGGTGGCAGTAGCTGGGCCCCCCAAGTCTGCTGGCCTGAGAAGCCCAGAGCAAAGCCGGTTTCTCAGCCTTCTCGAAGTGACAGATCTCTGGCTTGGGCTGATTTCCCCCATTGCCACTGTGATCTTGTTTGACGTTTCAGAAGATTCTATTATCTCGTGTGCTGCTCCAGGGCATAGACCACTTTCAAACATTCCTTTTATTGCTACCCACAGCTCTTGACAACGCACCCAGCTTTACCAGCCTGTGTTCAGGGGTGACTGCTCACTGCCACCTTTTGGCTGGAGCAGGATGAGTTGCCAAGGGCACCACCATCCGTTGGGTGGCTGCTCTGTACTGGGCACACACTGTGCTGAGCACTTAACTTAGAGTGGGTAATACATAACCCTTATGAGACCGCTTCTCTGAAGATCCCCTTTGAGAGAGAAGGAAGAGGATGCTCAGAGAGGGTAGGTAACCTGCCAAAGGCCACCAGCTGTGGAGCCAGGATTTGAACCTGGCAACCTGATTCCAGAGTATGGTCAGGGCCTTGACTGCTCCCTGGGGTTCGCTGCAGTGCATGTGCCAGGCTGAGGCCTTCGCAAAGGATGCTCTGCATCTCAGCGAGGAGGAAAGCCGCCCAAGCGTGCCAGCCTCTTTGTGACTGAGCCGTGGCTTGAGCTCTGATCTGCCTATTGTGGAGTGTGCTGCGGTAGCGTTCCACAGGTCCTGTCCCGACATTGTAGTGGAAGCTACTGGAATGCCATCTGACCGGGTCTTGTCCCCACACCATGCCTTATTCCTCTCCAGCCTTGGCCCTGCTAGGACAATGTCAGCAATTTTAGGCCCTAAAGAGGGTTGGAAGTTGGCTGACATCCTATAGGAAACTCTCCACCTCTTTTCCTGCCCTTGTAGCTTTGTTTCTAAAAGTTAAAGCAGGGTACGCTAGGGGTTGGTGTATAGCTAACCAGGTGCCATCAAGTTGATTTTGCCTCACGGCACCCCTGTGTGTATGATCACCAGGCCTTTCTTCTGAGGCACCTCCAAGCAAATCACACCTCCAACCTTTCAGTTAGCACCTGTGTCCATTTGTGTCACCCAGAGCCCTGGGTGTGCTGGTGCATGCGCTACATGACAGTGTTACCTGTGTTGATGCTCAGCCCTGCATACCTGCACTGCATACTATGGGGTAGCTCTGAGTACCTCGAGATGGAGGGGATGCCGTGCGTCTGTGGTCACACACCTGTCTGTGGGGTTCACTTCCATCAACCATGCTCCTTGAACCCAGTGACCAGCCAGACCCTGGGTCATGAAGGGCTGGAGGCACCTGTCCACCAAGTCCGAGTAGTTGAACTGGTGTCATTGGATTGAGGCAGGTGAATTTGCATCTTAAGGAAGGGGCATGCTCCGTGCAGGCTGTGAGCGCCTTAGGCAGGCAGTGTGCTGGACTGGAGGCTGCCCTACCATTGGGGCCAGTCCATGCCAGGCCATCACTGTGCTCAGGGAACCCTGAATGGCAGAGCTTAGGTTTATGGTTCCTGTGACGCCCCACCCCCAGGCATGGCCCCTCTGACTTTGTGCTCAGTGCAGCACTGTCTTGGTGCCCTCTTCCTGCGGATGTCCTTCTGCTAAGACCCCCCGCAAGTCTCCTCACTGACCTGGGACCTCCGCTCTCAGGAGACGCCCTGAGAAGAGGCACGGTTTCTTCAATTCGGAGGAGATTTCAGCTTCTTCCAGTCTTGGATGGTGATTCTAAAGAGCCTCTTCCTTTGCCTGCCTTCCCTCTCCCAGCGCCCAAGGAGATCCAGCTGCAGACAGGCCTGGGAGTGCCGGAGTCTCTGTTGGGCGCCTGCTGCAGGCCTCTGGAAGAGCCACCGAGATAGCATTTTGCCATCTACACTGGCGTACGAAGCCTGGTGCCCACCATGGCAGAGGTGTTATATTACTGGGGCATTTCCCCCTCGCTGCTATCCAGCCCCCCCACCCAGTTTATCATTGCTTTTAGCTGAAGTCCAAAATCGTAACTCTAGCATTGTGATGAGGGCCACTGAGTTGTCACTGTCTCCTGCTGCGCTCCATAAGGGGCTGTGTCTGATGGGACATCATCCGCCTCGTCTCACCTCGCCTCGGAAGGGGGCCTGGGCCAGCACCTCACTGGGTGAGAGGCTCAGAGAGGCTGGGACAGTAGTCGGAATCCTGAGCTAGGGCTTGCCTCCCTGGCCAGTTCAGAATTTAAAGTCCCACAGACTCTGTTTCCTGTGAGGGGCATGAGTATCATTTTCTTCCTTAAGAACTTTCAGGCCCGGGCCTTCCCTTAGGCCTAAGGAGCCCTGGTGCCACAAGGGGCTAAGCACTGGGCTGTTGGCCGCAAGGCTGGTGGTTGACCCTTGGCACTCTGCTGGAGAGAGGCGCGGCTGCCTGCTCCCGTGAGATGTAGTCTTGGAATCAACTCTATGGCCGAGAGTTTGGTGTGTTCGGTTCGGTGAGCCTGAAATGCTAGGGCTCTCGCCCCACGTATTTATCCACACATGCATCTAAATCTTGTTTACCAACATCTTTGTGCCGAGTGCTTGAGGGGGGCGGTGCTGCTGGAGGAGGGGTATAAACAAAATTAACAGACTAGTTAGGAAACCCCAGCAAGCCCCTGCCCTCTCCCTCTGACTCATGTCCCACATGTGCCAGTGTAGACCACAGGGTTCCTAATGGCTGTGCCCCTTCCGAGGATCACCGGCCCTTTCTCTCTGGGCACCTCCAGGTGGGTGTGAACTGCCAGCCTTTCAGGAGCAGCTGAGCATCAGACACCAGGAATGCAGCTGGGGGAAAGAACAGAGGGAAGGTTGGCTCATTAGCGGGTGCTCCAGGGGCACACATGCTTGGTTGGTGTGAGCTGGCAAGTGAACTCTGAGCTTCCTACCAGCCCCTTTGAAAGGGGAAACACACTTCACAGAGTTTTAGGGGAAAAGGAAACACAGGCACTCCAGGAGAACATGAACTGTCCCTGGTCCCCAGATCTGACCCAGTGACACTGGCCATGGTGTCAATGCATGCACAGCGACAGCAGTTACGGTCCATGCAGATTGCACGCTGGTGGTGGGTTGTCTCTGGCGAAAGCGTTGCTAAGGGTAATTCTTACAAGTCAGACTGTCAGATTGTCACCTGGGCTCGAACTCTGGCTGGCAGTGTAGCAACACCAGGTGTCTTGTTCCATTTGAGTATTTGTTGCTAATCTTTAGTCAAGTGTCACTCGAGCTGCTAGGTTGGCTGGGAATGGTTCGTTGTTCAAAACAGGCACAGTCCAGTAGCAGAGGCTCACATAGAACGGCCAATGCGTTTTTTCCATCGCGATCAGTCTATTTACCAAGGTGTGTACGTGTTCCTTTCATCCTTGCCTTTCCATTTGGTATGGTTGACGGAAGCGTGATCCACTGAGCCCTTGAGCTCCTTGGGCGAGGCTGTGTAGGGCTGCTTTTTGGAAGGACAATGGAGACATGCCTAGACAGGTCACATTGTCCAGACAGGCCAGACACCAGAGAAGAGGCGAGGGACGTGGGCCGGGGCTAATTTTGCCTTTTCTTTCTTCCTTAGATGAGCTGCGACAAGCCATCATGGCCATGGTGAATCGGAAAGACGAGCTGGAGGACGAGAACAGGTACCTTGATCTGCAGGCTTGAGAAGTGGCCTCTTTCTCTGATGTTCTGCCTCTGCGGTGGAGAGAACATATAGACGAAGGAAATCTTGCTTTGCTTGTGAATTGGTTATTGATGACTTTGTATTTTGGGCTGGGATGTCCTTGCTTGAGTGTCTGTGGGGAGAGGGGGTGTTCAGTGCATGGTTTAAGCCTAAGCAGGGAGTCCTGCAGTAACAGCATCTCTTAGAACAGACTGAGGGTTTGTTCAAGCAGTTCTCTGAGTGCACCTGTCTCCCTTACTACAGGCACCCAAATGTTTGCCTCCAAGTTTTGCCCAAATCAGGGATCCTATGAGGGCAAGAGGTTTTTGGAGACCTGTACCCCTCACTGTTTAACATGGCTGTGTATAAGCCTCGTCTCAACGAGATGGATCGACCCGTGGCTGCAACCATGGGCGGGCTCAGGCACAGGAAGAACTGGGAGGGGCACAGGACTGGGCAGTGCTGCGCTCTGTTGTGCGTAGGCTTGATATGGGTCAGAACCGACTCCACAGCACCTAACAGCCACCACCCTCTGGAGACATGGAAAGGAGAAAGGGTTTATAGGCCGTTTATTCTTTACTGAACCCAGTGCTACATTACTACCCAGAGGGAGGAGGCTGGGGTTGGTGTACGTGCACATATGTACCCGTGTGTGTTTTTAAAATTGGGAATGGTGGGGATTTACATATCAGGTCATCGTTTCTGCATTCTGTGTGTTTTCTCATAAGTGGGACTGAGACTCCTCCAGTAACGGCATGAAAGGGTCCATGGTGATAGTAAATCGTAATCTTTTTAAAACAAATCTCATTTGGGACCTTAATTGACAAGCTTCTCCTTTTCTTTATGGATACTTCTAAAAACAAACAAACCCACTTTTCTCAGAGGGAAGGTGGTGTGTCTGTGGGACCGGAAAAGGACGTGGCCCCTCCACTGGTCTCCGGAGCCACCGCTCTCAGCCTCCACTCTCGCAGATTGCTGGGAAGGGCTCTTCTTCCCATGGTCTTTACTTCCTGCCAAGATGGCTCATTCTTTTTGGGGGTGGGGGTCATGCATGCCCCATTTGCATTGCCCCACCCAATTATGTAAAGAACATTGGCCATTTCAGCATTCTTCACGTGTTCAGTTCAGTGACACACTTATGTTAATCTTGGTGACCAACCATCACCATGATCTGTTTCCAGATTTTTCCATGAAAAAGAACCCTTTTAAAAATAATCTGGAGGCAGGGTAATTTTCCGACTCAAATTTTCCGAAGCTTCCCACAAAGAGCCTGCAAACAATGCCGGGTTCTTTCCCTTGCTCCAGCTGGGGCTGTTGTTTTGGAGGAAGTTGTAGGTTTTGTCTTACTTTGTGGAGAACAAGAGCCACTGCTCGCTCATTTCTTCCCTTCCTAGAGAAGAATAGCAAAGCCTAACTTTTGTCCAGGTGGTGGAAGAGGAGGAGGAGGAGGAGGAGTGGGTTCATGGGCGGGTGGGGTGGGTGTGATGGGCTTTTCTCAAAGCGTTCAAGGAACACTAGGAGAGTTCAGTGAATCATGGGAAACCAGACACATTTGCTTTCACTCTGACCTCACGGGGAAGTGTCTTTGGGCTGTAGGTTGTGGACCTACCCATGCTAGCAGTGGTTTTCTAGAAACAACTGCGTTGTCGTTGTTAGGTCCGACTCATAGCCACACATAGCACAGCAGAACGAAACACTCACAATTGTCCCTATACTTCAGCCCATTGTTGCAGTCACTATATCAATCCACCTCCTTGAGGGTGTTCCTCTTTTTCCGCTGCCGCTCTACACAGGAACTGGTCTCTCCTGACAACACGTGTGACGTCTGTAAACTGAAGTTTCGCCATCCTTGCTTCTAAGGAGCACTCTGGCCATACTGCTCCTGAGACAGACTTGTTGGTCCTTTCGGCAGTCCATGGTACTTTCAGTATTCTTCTCCAGAAGCACAATTCAAATGCACAGGTCCAAACACAGAGCTTCCCTAGGCACAGTGATGTCCGCAGTCAGCAGAACCGTGCTTGTTGCACCTTGCGTAGTAATTTCGAACATGCCTGGAAGAGCTGCCGTCTCCTCCCATGTGAGCAAGGGAGGGCAGGCACACTCACCGGAGTATGAAGTGTGCAGACTCCTATTACTGGGTAAGCTGGAGATGCCAAGTGAAACCCAAGGCGGGGCGTGTGCTGGCAGTGATGCTGGACTTCTTCCCAAGGACCTGCGCCTGGCTCTGTGTCCAAGCCTTGGAGCATTCCTCCCATGGTGTTCCTCCCTTTGCAAATCTCCTACCCGATGTGCCTAGGACACAGTGCTCTCAGTTTAATGTGCTGCCCCTCTGAGTGGGCTTTCTTTAGAGGGTCTGACCTGGAGCTTAGCAACGTGGTGTTTTCTGTGATCTGCCAGGAGCCACATGCAATGCTCTGGAGCCATCCCGAGGCTCCTGGCCAGGGTTTGAGATCCCCTTAAGTCAGATCATGCCAGATCAACTTGGATGAGGGCTGGTGCAGCACCCTGTGGAAAATGAGTGCCTAGGGTCTTGATGGACTCAGTGACTCGCTGTGTTCTGCACCGGCAGTGTTTGACGGGTGGGCCTCCTCTTCTCAGATCACTGCGGAACCTGCTGGACGGTGAGATGGAGCACTCGGCTGCACTCCGGCAGGAGATGGACATGCTCAAGAGGAAAGTGGCCGAGCAGGAGGAGCGGCATACTGTGAAGATCCAGGCCTTAGCCAGGTAGGACCCGAGGGCCAGAGCTGGGGCACGGGAGGTGGGCCAGAACCACAGGCACACCTACCACCAGCTTCTTTGACGTCGATGGTGGCAAATGGACACAATGGAGTTACCATCTTGGAAACCCACAGGGGCAGTCCTACCCTGTGCTATAGGCTTGCTGTGAGTCGGCATCATCTTGGTGGCCATGGGGGGGCCACTTTTCAGGGACACTGGGAGACAGACATGCCCTGAGGCTGAGAGCAGGGAGTCCAGAGTTCAGTGGTGGCAAGCAGTGTGTGCACCTACCTGCTGCCAGGGGACATGAGCGCCATGACTGTGACAGTTATACATGCGGTCCCACATCACGTTCTGTTCTCCGAGCTGCTCTCACCGTTCTTCCTCTTCGTCAATGACAGCTCCAGAACTTCAGGGACCGTGGGTTTGTTATAAGCACAGCAACCAAAGCACTTGGTGGGTGTTTTCTCTGCCTTATTTCCTGCTGGATTAAGAAAATTTACGCTAGCAAGCCATGGTAAAAGAACTCAAAGCCAAACTCATTGCCACCCAGTCGATTCTGACTCCCAGCAATGCTGTTGGACAGAGTAGAGCTGCTCCTGTGTGTTTCCAAGAATGCGACTCTTTGCAGGAAATCCTTGTCTTTCTCCCATGGAGCTGCTGGTGGTTTCAAACTGCTGACCTTATGGTTAGCAGATCAACACATAAGCCTTAGGCCACCAGGGCTGTTATGTTCAAAGGAGGATTGTACAGGCTAATTATGGACTCTGTGGGACATCGTGGCCAACCTCCTGTGACAACATCTCAAATCCTAAGGATAGGTTCCTCGGGCCAGCTGTGGAATTGATGTTACACAGGCTCAGCAGGTTGGGGAGTGGTCTCATTCTGTTGACATCATCATTTCGTCTCTGGGAAGACCCAACCTTTCCTGAAACTGCTTTCCCTCCTACCTTTTCAGTCGTGTAAGCCACTACTTTCCTTTTGTTATTTCAGACACTCTGTGAGGGCTTCTCTCTCACTCCTCTGTAGAGTCCTGCCTAAGCAGGCTGCCTTGTCTGAGTCTTAAGGATTAAGGAGTGTCGTGTTTTCTCTGAGTGGAACTAAAACCGTCCCTTCCGTCAAAGTCTGTCAGGCCCATGAAAGGACTCGCACAGTGATTCGCTGAGGGCTGACAAGAAGCGTTCCTGAGGAGAACCCATGGGATGCCTTACAAAGCACTGCTCAAGACCTTTTCCTCCTGCGTGACTAGCCTCCTAGCCTTCATGTGCCATACTTCTCTCCTCCTGGGAGGCTCTGGTGCCTAGTTGTGTGACTGGGGCCAGCCTTGTAACCATCCTGAGCCTCTGGCTGTCTGCATGATATGACTTAGACGAGGACCTCCTTCCTGTTTCCAGGAAGTGAGCTCCTGCCCGGCGGTGTTGTGGTTCCTGCTGGACAGGGAGTGTGGTGTCTACCTTAGCTGGGGCAGCAGCACAGACGTGATCATGGTCCTGGCCCAGCCACTTAGCCTCAGAAACCTCAGCTTCCTCACCTGTGAAATGGGGATAACTGTGGTATGGATGCTGGGAGAGCCGGAACCACATGAGCTTGGGTCCACAACTGCCCCCCCTGACAGATGAGCAACAATCATTGGTGTTAGGTGCCATTGGACGGTCTCTGCCACGCCGTGGCCCCGTGCACCACAGAATGAAACACTGCGTGGTCCTGTGCCCTCCCTGCCACCGCTGCTGTGTCTGAGCTCATCATGGCAGCCACTGTGCCATCCCCCTGAGGGTCAGCCTCTGCTTTGCTGACCAGCTGTGTGCCTCGCCTAGGAACCGACAGGACAGGTCCAATCTGTCATGGGGTCCCTGTGAGTGGGATTCCACTTGATGCAAACAGCAGCGCTAATGGCCTGCGTCCACAGCAAGGACTTGGTGGCTGTGAGTGTCTTCTCCTTGGCTAGGGTGGTGAGGGGTGCTGAGGCGAGGCCAGAACCTCCTGGGCGCTCCTCCTTGTCCAGGCTCCCTATGAAATGGGCAATCCAGGCTCTTTGTACTTCACTTCACCTCCTCCTGCCTTTATTCCTACAGCCCTACGCATGTCAGAAGGCAATGCCTATCTCTATCAAGACAGAAATGGTTGGAGTTGAGGAGCCAGTGGGGCACTGGTTTGAATCTGAGTCTGTCTTGGGAGCTGAGGTAGCCTTCGGAACCAGTGACGTGGGTCTTTTTATTGCCACCTCCTGAGCTGAGGAACATGCTTTGGCAGGGAAAACCAATAGATTGATGGTAGCCACCTGACATTAGTGGTGGAGAATTCCAGATCGCATCTGGGCTCATCAGGGACAAGGGTTTATTGGTTAGCAGTGTCTGTCAGGACTGTGGGAAGAAGAGGTGGCCAGCAGGCTCAGAATTTGCTATCCCTCTGCTAGTGCTGAAAGGAGCCCTGGTGGAATAGTGTTGGGCTGCCATTCACAAGGCGAGGCTTTCTACTCCCGTAGGACTTACAGTCTTTACCTACAGGGGCAGCTCTGTTCTGCCCTGTGAGGTTTCCATGAGTCACAATTGACTTCTGCAGAGTGAGTTTTTGATGGCAGTATGGATGGAACTGATGGAAACAGATAAACTCTCAAGGAAAAGATGGCCCTTTTGTACAGAAAAGTGAGTGGGAGACTTTTTCCATTCTTCTAAGAAATCTACATTGTTCAGTTCTGTCTGGTAAGAGAAACATGCTTTGAGCTCATTATATAACCACAAAAGAAAATGCTGCTTTTAATATGGTGGTGGAACAATTTGGAGAGGGACATCAATAATGTTTGTACAACACAAAGAATATAATCAATGACACTGAATTATACATGTAGAAGCTGTTGAATTGGAGAATGTTTTGTTGTGCATATTTTTTCCAATATTAAAAAAATAACAATGAGTACAAAGAAGACGAAAATGTTTTAAAATTGATTGTGGTGGTGATTGTACAACTCTTCTTGATAGGATTGGACTATTGAATTGTATGATATGTGGATGAAGTACCAATAAAACTGTTAAAAACAACAAAATAAAATGTTGCTCAAAGGGTGACTAGAGACCCAGTTTGGGTCTATCTGCCCTTCAAAAATGAGCATTTGCATTGTTGTGTGTATTAAAAGCCTGTGTTTACGACTGAGCGTTAGGGGAGAAGAGCAGGGTTCTCTCACCAGAAGAGGAATTGCTCGAGTGGACATTGCATTGCCTTTCGAAGAGCCCTCCCCTGTATTGAGATGTCAGCCAGGACTTGCTTTGGCTCTGGTTGGTGGTGGGCATTAGACCTCTAATCCGGTTCAGAGAATTTGATATCCTTTCCACCTTTGGCTGAGGTAACTGAGGCTCCATCTAACTAGGAATCTGGTTGGATTTGGTGCAGGAAATGAGCACATGACTTCATTCTGTCCAAGGAAATGTGGTGGAAGGTGTGGAAGCACCAGAACTCTGAAGGCAGATAATCCCTTACCTCTGGCTAGTGGGGGTGACTGCTGCTTCTGAGCCATGTGCTGTGAGGGGCAAAGATTGGAATGGCTTTAGCCACCTGGCCCTCATGCACAGAAGCAGACTCAGGGCGGGCCTTATACTGACTGCATCTTAGAATGGAGAGGCAGGTGAGAAAACTGGATCTTCTGACTTCACAGGCTGTGGAATCCCCCACCCTTGAAGCACAGCGCTACCTTTTGACTCCCCAGTTATGTATTCTCTTTACTGTTGAAGCCAGTTTGAGTTGACTTTTCGGTGTCTTGATAGACCAAGAATGGATACAGAAGACTGTCTATCCCCTTAGGCCTGGCCAGGTGGGCCAGGCCCCTTGTGATAGGTCCACAGTAATCAGTGTTCATCTGCAGTGCTAGCTATCATTGGCAGTTATATGTCTGTATTGTCATTCATTTACTGCCTGGCTCCGCTTTTGAATTGTCAGCACAGTGAGGGCCACTCCCCCCTTTTTTGCACACCTGTTGCATTGCTTGCACCAGCCAGCAAGCTGGTCA